ATGCAGAAGAGAAAACCCTCAACAGATGATGAGCTCATCAAGCCGCTGCTCATCAGACACTCCAGAAGCATGCCCTACTTTCACCTGCTTCCTCTATGGCCAGGTGGGGACACGGTGATTACCGTAAGTCCCCTACATGTGAACCTTCAAAGTTGCAAACTTTCAAAGACGCCAGTGCGCCCCTGTGAACTGGACTGTTCAACTGTACAGCTGTTGAACTGTAGTACTGTACTTTTCAAGATACTGTACTGTAAGGTTAAAAATGGTTTCTCTTTTGTGTGTTTTTTATGTTTTATTTGTGTGAAAAGTATTATAAACCTATCACCATACAGTAGTATATAGCCAATTATATTGTTTGGGTGCCAAGGCTAACTTTGTTGAACTTAGGAACAAACTGGACTTACCAGCACTGTGGGAATGGACCTCATTCTTACATAGGGGGCTTGCTGTACCCTTGCCCTGATGCACCATGAGGAGTGGTCATGGAGAAGACGCTGTGCTGTGCTAAGTCACTTCAGTCGGGTTCAACTCTCTGTGCCCCCATGAACTGTAGCCCCCGAGGCTCCTCTGTCCATGGGATTTCCCAGGCAAGAATACTGGAGTGGGTTGCCATGCCCGCCTCAAGGGAGTCTTCCCCACCCAGGGATCAAACCCATGTCACTCTAAGTCTCCTGCATTGGTAGGTGGGTTCTTCACCACTAGCGCCACCTGGGAAGCCCAACTTACTGTTAATAATAACCCTGACTTAATATGACCTGACTCTAGAATATTCATACACACACACCCAGTGTATACAACCTGACAAACAGTAGGTGCTGCATAATTATTTAACCATTTGTTGAATGTGTAATACCACCCTATCCTGAGACGCTCCTTCAACACCCACACATACCAAGCCAACCTCTCACCTGACTACTAAGAACTAGAAAAAAGCTACTAAAATACTATCTGTGAACACCTGCCTGTGAATACACACGTTGATGTATTTGAATAAAATTCCTTGAGAACAACGAAGTGAGAGCCTAGAGATAGTCAAGTTTCTGAATCATGGTAGCCTGTTTGCAGTCTGGAACCTGTGTGCCGACGACAGTGATGGTAATGATGTAATGTCATTCCACTATGCTGCATTTACTGCTGCTATATCTTTAGAGTCAACAGGCTAAGTATAAAGTGACTCAGTTTCAGTGATGGTGTTCTATCTGCAAACCAAGAACAGCTTGGGTATTTTGTAATGTATGCCTTGTTGATTAAACTTAACCTGTTAGAGGTCAGAAAAAAAACAGATAATCAAGGCTAAGAAATAAACAAAACTGACCAACATGCATTTGCTTTGTTTATTTTTATTAGAGTTTTTAAGTACTCTTTTTTTTAAAAAGAAAATACTGGCCACCGTGGTATCCCATGAATTATAACATTAATCATGCAACAGATAACACAGTGAGAAGAACTAAACTACTGTAAAGGCTTTTAAATCCTGCAACATGAAAATATATTATAGAAATAGTAATGTATTACAATGAAAAATAATACAGAATTTAAAGAAATGATTGTTTATGAGTCATGTCATTATATTTTTAATAATACTTTTAAAGATACAGTGATTTAACAAGCATATTTTTAAAAAGGGCAAAAGTAAAATTCAGGAAAATGATTCTATTTTCTTCTCAAAATTATTTTCCTAAATGGAAGAAAAACTGATTGAGTGACGACAAATTTCAAAGCAAACAAAAAAGTGTTTAACATTTACCACTTGATCCAACTGTTTGGCTGAAGAACTATCCACAACAGGTAGCACTAGTTTGTATTAAAAGACACAGGGCAGGGGCCCTTTCAAACACTGACCTGACCCGGAAGCACCTCTGGAAAAGTTGCCCCAGGGGAAGAGGGCAGGAAGTGCTTTTCTGCCCTCATTCAGCATAACAATAAGCACTAACTTGTGAGGAGTAAAGGGCATATTAAACATTTTATCTCAAAATATATTTGCATGTCATCCTTTTTATCTCTGATAGGATTAGCCTCATACCTAGCCCTTCTCCCTCCCCTTAGAATACTATAAAACTTGTTTCCTGAAAGCATGTCTTCTACCCATAGTAAATCAAATATCTGTGCATATTTAATTAGATTTCTATTTTGAAACTTAACCCATAAAAGAACTATGATGTATCTGCTGAGTTAAAAATATTTTGCTTACAAAAGCTCATAGTTCTGAGTCCATAAAATTAGGAATATGTGTTACTAACTATGAAAATGAATGCTTAGATAATTCCTATATCTCTGACTTGGGGTATAACTATACATTTTCATTTTTTTTATATATTTTCATTTTTAAGGCACACAATATTCACTTAGTGTTTTAACTATCTTAAGGGACCCATTTAAAACTTACTAAGCTTTACAGAATCACTTTCTGTCATTTGAACTCCCTCTTTTGAACACTAGCATATTCTGAATAGAAAAGTTTCTAAAGTAAATAATATTTTCCAAAACAGTCAAGGCTAATGTAGCTTAGTATTTTGATTAACTATTAAAACCAAGCAAAACTGTTTCAACACCAACCTCTGAAGTTCATATTTCTCAAGCAGAAATGGAACACAAAAGCAAGTCCTCTGAACATAAACATGCTTTTACATGCTTCTTGGGTCCTTTACACAGACATGGTTCTACGCAGTGAGTATGGAAAGAGAGGCTTTGGAAAGGAAATGAACATTGGCACCCATCTTTAGCGGGGAAGCTGTGTCTGTTGATCTAAGAGGACATTTCAAAGGCTGCAAATCTCATAGTTACCCAAGAAGCCTTCAATACCCTTCCCCTGGATCGTATCTTATAATTAAGTAGCAAATTCGGTTTTAATTGTAGGAAATCCTGGAAAGTTCTGACGCGGGAAGAATCCTACAGACTCCAAGGCCAAGTGCGCAAGGAGGGGGTTTCTCAGCGCTCTGCTCCTTATTCTGATTTTCACATACAGGGTAACTGCAACCAGACGCCGTCTCCCCGAGGGTGCTGAAATCACCCATCAGCTTATAGCGTGTGAAGTGTCAGACAATGGAAAATTCAAGGAGAGGGGCCAGAGTGCTGAGCAGGCGCCCTGTGGGAGAGCAAAGGGCGTCAAAGGTCAAGTTCCCGTCCCAGTCCCACGCTCTAGCTCCGCACCTCCTGTATCGGCTGATGGCTCTGGGGGCCACAGATGGCAGTACCGCGTCCCGGCCGCGCGCAGCTTTTCCCGGGGGGTTCTTCCTTCCCTCTCCGGGAAAGAACAAGGCGCGCTCCTCTAGCCAGAGGAGCCCCGAAACCCGGCCCTGGGCGCCCGCCCTCTCCCGCCGGCTGGGGCGCCAGGCTGGGGGGGGGGAGGGTCGTCACCCCGCTCTGTGCTCCCCACTTGGACGGATCTGTTGGGGCTCGAGAAGGGGTCCCGCGTGTCCTTGGGGTACCGCCCGCATCTCCAAAGTGAAGCCAGCAGGGGCAGCACCCACAGGCAAGTCAGCCTGGCCCTTTCCTCCGGCCCGGCACCTGCGCCCACCAGCTGGCCAGGCAGCGGCTCCTGGGTGCGGGCGATCCTTCTTCTTTTAGGGACTCTGCCCTACCTTAGTTTTCCAACGATATATTAAATATCTAGCATTTACCTTCTCCTTTTTCCTTTTCATTTCTTTCCCTTTCCTTCCTTTCCTTTTAATGAGAAAATAAACGAAGTTCTCCCTCCCTCTCCAAGTTAAGAGTGCTCATCCCTTCAGTAAAGAAAGCAGGGAATGTTCTTGGTCAAGGCCGCGTGGCCCCAGGATCCCGGAGCTCCGCAGAACTGGAACTCGGAGAAGTGTGAGGCGGAGAGACATCCAGGGAATCCGCAAAACGGGCACTCTGCCCTCAGCACATGGAGTGTCCCTCGCGCCCTGGACCGGCCCGGCCCGGTGGGTGTCACGTGCTCAACTCCACGTCGCGCTCCCCCAAGGGGCCCCCCTCCCGGCGCTCCGACCCCGCCGCTCCGCACCCACACCCCCAAGTCCGCCCAGTCGGGGCAGTGCTCGGCCCCGGTGACCCCACCCCCCGCCCCCGGCTCCCTCCAGTCCACATCCCGGTCCTCCACCACCATCTACACGTTCCTCTTACCTCCTCCTCTGGTCACTAGTGAAGTTTTTACAACCCTCAAGGGTCTACACTGTCGCTCTCCCAAATCGGGCAGAGCATCTTTCAAAAGACCGTGAGTGGGCCTCCAGAAACTTTTCGGCCGCCGAGGCTCCGGGGTCAGCGGCCGTGAACACACACCTGGCGCGCACACCCGGGCGCAGGTCCACCTGTCCCGGCGCACCGCGAGCCGGAGAGTCTGCCCGCGGGCAGCCGCAAAACTCGCCGGCTCGCCCCGCAGGGCCGCGGGGCGCCAGCCAGGCATCGAAAGAGAAATTGAAAATGGGCTGGGGCAGCGGGGACTGGGAAACGGTGACGATTCTGGATACACACTCACAGGAGCCTGTGTCCACGCCCTGCACACAGAACGGTTGTACCCCGAAGGCGCACACTTCCCGAGATCAGAGCCCTGTGGATGCTCTGAATGTAACCCCCCGCCCGGGGCGCATCCATCTCGGAACTGATCAACCTTTCGTCCAGGCGACTTAGTCTGGGTCTGAACCAGCGCCGCGCACCGGAGGATGCGGATCCGGGTGCTCCCGGCGCCCTCGCCCCATCTCCGAGCCCCCCACCCCGCGCCCCCCGAGGCAGGTGCGGGCCCCCAGCCCGGCCGAGCAACAAGCGGGCCGTGCGCGGGGGAGCCGGGTCCCTGTCCGCCTCCGTCCCCGCGTGGGTCACCTCTCCCCGCCCCCCACCGCCAGCCGCGCCAAACGGGCGCCGGGGATAAGAAAGCCGCGCGGGCGACTCACCCCCAGCTTCCTGCTGCGGATTTTCACGTAGCCCTGCTTGACTATGTCGTTAAAGTTGGAGGCCATGGTCGGTGCGCTCGGCTTCCCCGGGTCGAGAGCCGCCGCCGTCCGCCGCGGGGTCCGCGCAGGTCTCGCATGCAGCCGGCCGCCCCCGAGCTCCCGCCGCCGGGGACGCGGGCGGGGTGGCGGGGCGACCGCGGGCGGGGAGCGAAGGCGGCCCGGCGCCGCGAGCCGCGCGCGCCCTCCGCGTCCCGGTCCTCACCTCCGCCCCCGCCGCGCGCCGCCGCCGCCGCCCCCGGCCAGCACCCTCGGGCCGGCGGCTCCCTCGGCGGCGCGGCGCCGGCCGGAGCGCACCCGCGCCGGGGAGGGGCGGGCCGGGGGGGCGGGCCGACTCGCCCGCGCGCCTCCCTCCCCGCGGCCCGCGCGGCGGCGGAGCCCGGAGACGCTCGCCAGACGCGCTTCATCACTCGCGGCTCGGGCGCCGCGCTCCTCCCGCCGCCCCGCGCCCCGCTCCCACCCCGGCACCCGGGGCCCGCCGCGCTCTCCCCGAGCGCGGGGTTCTACCCCCGGCTCTGGCTCTCCACGCCCCGGGCTGGACCCCGGGGACCCCGCGGCGGAGGTGGGGGGGGGAGGGTATGCTCCCTGGGAAGATAGGCCAAGGAGGGGGGCGAGACAATCGTTTATTTCGAGGGCCGCGTTTACAGGGCGATTTGATTCCTGCCGCACACGCTCGCGTGCCCGGTCTGCGCCCCGTTAGGAAGTATAAAATCGACGCCGAGCCCTTGCCGTTGCACACAAAGAGACCGATCGTGCGCATGTGTCTACTCCCTCGGCTGCTGGGGAGACTGGAGCGATCAGGCGAGGCGCCGGCCGCCGACGTCCTCTCCCGAAGAGGCGGCTGGCCCTGGACTGGACTGATGTGTGCCCGCGTTTTCCTGAACCGTGGCTAAAAGTGGCTTGTGGTTCCCCGTCTTCTAGAGGAAATGGAGACCACAGCTGCTCCCGGCGGATGCAGATGATTCATTGAAACGTTCCACTCAACAAAGCAACGAAGAACTTTGTCCCCTTAATGTAGGAACACATGACATTTAAGTAGGCTCTTCTCTGTTGTAAACGAAATCTTAAGCTAAAAATTGTTTGATAAGATTGGAGGAAAAACGACGGAGTATCAAATGTTGGCTGGAGGCAATATATGGATTCGTGCCACAGGAAAGGATATTTAATACCTTAGTAGGTAAGGATGTTTCTAATTAAGGAAAAAATGTATCAAGATTGAAATTTTTCTAAGTGACTCCTTTATTTTATGAAGAGTCAATATTGAATATAACTTCAAAAGATGGTGTTTATTTCTGCTTATTTGGGTGAGCAGTATTTTTCCAAGTTCTCAGATAAATTTTCTTAGCCCTATTGGGAACATAATAGTAAGAGAGAAAGGAAACTACTTGATTGAGGGGAGAAAAATAGTAAAATTTGCAGGATAAAGTAACATGCCCTTCACCCTACTGAATGGATGCCCCAAGGGTGATTTTTGTCCAGACATTAGCAAGAGTCTCCATCTAAAACCATTATAACCCGATGGAAACTCTTAACTTGTCTAAACAGCACACTGTTCCTATCTGCTCACTTATGTAGCCAGCACTGTTTGAAGAATCAGCCATGCAGAGGACAAGGTGCTAGGCAGGTATCAATATATCCAATCACATGGCAGTATTTCTTACGCTATCACTCTGGAATGAGCTCAAATTCTGACCTTTTCCAGAAAACTTGCATAAACTCCCTATTAACTCTGTGTCATTCCCCTTCTCCAAACACCTGGAGCGTGTTTCCTAGTCCACAGGAGCTAAATCTCTTCAGCTGTGTTGGACTTTTTGTGACCCCATGAACTGTAGCCTGCTGTGCTCCTCTGTCCATGGGGTTCTCCAGGCAAGCATACTGGAGTGGGTTGCCATTTCCTTCTCCAGGGGAATCTTCCCGACCCAGGGATGGAACCCACATCTCTTGGGTCTTCTGCATTGACAGGCAGGCTCTTTACCACTAGTGCCAGCTGAGAAGCCCCATTTGCTCCTGTTTTCATATACTACATGGCTATTATTGGTTTTCTTTATCTGAAGACTGTTTGAGATTTGCAGATACTTGAAATACATTCAGTCCTCTTTGGAACCCAAGGAGACTTGCCATTTAATAGATGAGGAAACTGAAGCGCGGAGATGTTCAGTTTCAGAGGCACCATTTCAAGGTTTTGTGTCCACAATAATTTCCCTAACCACTAACTTCCACCATCATTTATATAATAATTGGTTTCCACAAATCAATTGTAAACTGTTTGAAGTCAGGGATTAATTGTGTCTCAGCAACAATCTTAGGGCATACTCAAAGATAAGATAAGGGTGGTAGCTCTGGCTTTTAAAGATTATGGAAAGATGATGCCTTTGTTCACACACTTATGTAGGTCTCTATAATGCCCTAATATGATTTAACTATTTTCCTGTATTTACTTTTGATTCTTAGATTGCTGGTATAGTAATTTGTGTGTGTATGTATATGTGAGTGTGTGTCTACAACAAAATTTCCTCCCCTTCTTTTTATACTGTTTGTTTGCCTCCTGAAAACACTAGGCTATGCTGTATAAATTTGTCATGTAAATTTTTCCAGATCTGGATTGGTTGCTTGTATTCTCATGGCATCATTTATTTTAGTCACCTAAGTCTCAAACTAGTAATGTGACTTAGACATTTGAGTACATTCTTCTTTTTATTTTCAAGAATAATTTATGAGGTGTTGTATATATCCTACTGAATCACATAAAGGGTAACAAAATGTCTGATGCTCCCATTTATTGGAGAAATCAAGTCTTGTCAGCCTGATCCATACATTACAAAATTCTGCTTCAAACTTCCACTTAATGGCTTTGCAGCCTCTGGTGATCACTGTTTAGATACATTCTTACAGATTGCAATGCTGTGATTTTCTGATTTGATTTCATTCCTGCATTTATGAATTATTTTCTTACAAAACTTTCCTTTGCAAACTACAGGACTGCCCTGAAATAGATTCCTTGTAAGAAAGGCAGGGAATATGCTTGATTCTGAACCTTTATCAACCTTTTTTTTTTCCCCCAGAAATATTGACTAGGTTATAACAAACACAAAAGGAAACTCTGCTCCCTTTAGAATACCATCAAAGATGGTGTTGCAACCCAACACAGTGCAAATTCTTTTGGCTGTTTGAATTCCTCCATCCTTGACCAAAAGGAGCTGCTTCAGTGGAGGCTTTTTGTGTTTCTGTCAGTTTCCCATGAACCTTAATAGCTTTGCTGTGATCAATCACAAGATATCTCAGGCTCATCTTGCACATTTCCAATTCAGGACCTGGAATCCATTATGTCTTCTAGGAACCTTTGTTCCTTTTAATGGGAAATGAAATTCATTTCCCATAATCTGGTTACCAGCTTGTTATTTTTGCTACTGATTCTATGCTTTTCAGTTATTGAGAAATGAAACACTTTTAGGAATAAATCTTAGAAAAATTCTCAGGTTGTACAAATATTTCCAGTTCAAATGAATGTTGACAGATTCGATATTTAAGGATTGCTTCTTTTTTTTGAGGTTTCATTACATGAAATATTTACAGATTTCAAAATTCAAACCTACCCGACAAGGTGCATTGAGAGATAATAGCTCTGATTTCTGTCTCTTCCTTCTGTTTTCTACTTCTCTTTTTAGGAAGCTGTTTTTATCAGTTTGGGGTTTATCTTTCCATTGTTATTATTGGCTATATAAGACAAGATATATGTGTGCTCCTATTTCTATATTAGTTACCAAAAATTGCATACTGTTCACACTTTTATCACTATAGCACCCATCGTCTAAACCAGGACCTCAAGATCCCCGTCTGTTGGCTTGATGGTCCATGTAATCCACCATCTGAGTCTGGGCTGGATATTTTGATTAACTTCTAGTGGATGGAAAGGCAGAAGTGACGGTGTGTCCATCCTAGATTAAGTAATAAAAGACTGTGGCTTCTCTCTTGGGTGATCTTGGTTGGAGGCTCACCCTTGGGGAAACCAGCTGCCACAATGTAAAGCAATCCTATGGAGAGGCCTGTGTAGATAAACCTGGAGGTAGACCTCAGGCTTTCCAGCACCCAAGGTGACCTACCTCACACATGGATTCACCCCAGGGAAGCCTTTAAAGACCCCACCCAGGTGGACAATTGGAGAAAGACCCAAAGACAGTCACCCACCTAAGTTGCTACTAGCTGTTTCTAAATAACAGAAGTAGTAAGATAACAAATGCTTGTCTCCATCTGCTAATTCAGGGGGTAAGTTATTATTGTTATGCATAAATGGATAAATAAAACAGATTTTGTTACCTGGAAGTAGGGTACTGCCTTAAACCAAAACTGTATAATTGGCGAATGGTTTTGGAATCCATCAGTGGTCTTGAAGAGGGTACTGGTGAATGCTTAAAGTAACTTGCACACACTGCAAAATTTTGGAGACTGAAGACCGTGTGCATGAGATCTTACAATAAAGCAAGGAAAATATTGGAAATAAGAGGAAAGAGCATTCTGATTAGGTAGAGGAAGGAAACTTAGCAATACACCTTTTTGCAACTATGTGGAAACTAGGAAAATATAGCTCATAAACTGTGTCATCAAGATAAGATTTCCAGGCAAAGTATTGGTGGGGCAGCCTCTTTCTTCTTCCTATTTAGCAAAATGAGAGAGGAGACAGATAAATTGAAGAAAGGACCATTAAAGAAAAAGGAGCCAAGAACTGATGTATTTTAATGTTCTCAGCCTTTCCAAGCCAAAACAGTGCCAAAATTAAGAAAGGGCTTTTGAACAAAGATCTAATCTTGGGCACTACTGTGAAAATTTGCTCTAAAGATACAGCCACGGATGTAACTGTAAAATATGTATCTTTTAAGATTTCAGAAAATTAATGATTTTAATCACTTCCTTGGCTGTATCTTTAAACCAAATTTTTTGGCAGTGTTCTGGATGAGATCCAATAAAGAGATTCACAAGAAACCCACAAAGCTCTTAAAAGAGCTACATATGCAGGAACAGTAATAGACAAAGATCATGCAGAATGAGAGGCATTTGGACTCAAAACAAACAAAAAAAGCTACCTTTCATGAAAAAGTAAATATGATTGATAACTCAGAGGCAGGAATTAAGTGTCTAGAAAGAAGAGTCAAGAATCGTGGAGAAGTATTCCTTGATCTTCAGAACTAACCTAGGAGCTTCCATCATTTTCTCATTTGGATTTCAGAATTGTTAGGAGCCACGATTCTGCATACTTTTTTCTGCCTCCTTTTGTGTATAGTAGTTGTACTGTGCTTGTCCTACCATTACATGTTGGAAGTGTGGGAGGCAGATTCTTTGTGTTTTTAGATTCAAAAGCCTACAGTTTGAGAATGAAATCCACATTTGAGAAACTGCCTGAGGTACCACACATGAAGACCCGCACTGACAATAGCACCTGTTTTATATGACAAGATTTGGCACTTTGAGCTCATATTCTAAAGAGATGAGAATCTGAGGGGTCTTAGGAAAGGTAAACATATTTTGTATGTAAGGGACATGAATCATTGGGATCCAAAGGGCAGATTGTAGTTGGCAGCTTCGAAAAGGGGTCACAGAGATCCCCACTTCCTTGTAATAGCCTCTCCTTCAGTGTGGGCTGGATTTGTTGGATGAAGTCTAGCAAACACGGTAGTGGGAGTGATGAGATGTCACTTTCCAGATAAGGTTATCAAAACAACACAGGTGCCTTGTCTCATTCTCTCAGGGATCTCTCCCCTATCTTTAACAGGCAAAATAAGCATAACTCTTCCTCCGTGGTACCCTCTAAAAGTATTATGAATCCATGTAAAAACTTGAAATACTAGAAATATAAAATACACCACAGCTTTTCATATTATTTTATGAATAATTTTTTAAT